ACAGAGCTAGGGCTCTGGTTCCAAATTTCCTGGAATACTTTTTCCAGAACAGGAACCAGAGACAACACTGCTCTTCAGTGACCTGAAGCAGTGACACGGGCCGGCTGGGTTTCTAGGTGGCATTGGTACCAACTTGAAGAGTATTGACAGAGTCCACCCTAACAACTGAGACATGTTGCTTAAACCTCTCCAGAACCAGCAACTGGGAATTGGGCCCCAGGTAAAAACTGCATCATCTAAGCCGACGCCTCCTTGAGGTGAATTCTGGAGTGTCTCTGGGGGGGGTCCCTTTCTTGCCTGTATCTGGGGGAATTTGATTCTTTAATGAACTTCTGGGGTGGAAGCTTTTGTTCCCATCCTCTAAGGTTTTGTTCCTATCCTCTAAGACGAATCAGAATGAAATTATCTGCTTTAGAAACTCTGGGATTTATATCTTTTTATAAGGAGCCAAAAGCTAGAAGTAAACACATATATTTTTTTCTTGGTTTAGATACTTGTTACCTTCTGCAACTTGTAAGTCAATCCTAGGACTCCAGTCATCAAAGGAGTTAATACAAGTGTGACTATCTGTTAACATAAAAAGCGCTGTTGCTGGGCATGGTGGCTCACACCTGTAATCCCAGCACTTTGGGAGGCCAAGGTGGGAGGATCTCTTGAGTCCAGGAGTTTGAGAACAGCCTGGGCAACATAGTGAGACCTAGTCTCTGCAGAAAATTAGGTGGAGGTGGTGGCATATGCCTGAAGTTTCAGCTACTTAGGGAGCTGAGGTGGGAGGTTCACCTGAGCCCAGGAGGTTGAGGCTGCAGTGAGCCATGATGTGCCACTGCACTCCAGCCTGGGCAACAGAGTGAGAACCTGACTCAAAAGAAAGGAAGAAAGAGGGCACTGTGTAAGCGAAAAGTATGGCTGTTAATACGAGTAGACCTCAGAGAATGTGAGTGCTCCAGTGACCGTGTGTGTGTGTGTGTGTGTGTGTGTGTGTGTGTGTGTGTGTGTGTGTGTGTGTGTATGCCGTGAAGGGCAGTGTTGGTTGGGCTAGTGAGTTTGCAGCCTGAGAACCTGGGTTCAAATCCAGCCCCAGCACCTCCCGACTGCGGGAACCCACCTCTGGGATGGAGGAGCCATCAGAGCCTTCAACCTGGCAGGGGGTCTGGGGAGCTTTCCTCCGTGCCGCAGGGAGGCAGGTCCATGCCCTTGTGAGATAATTCGCATTCATAGCACCTGGAATGGGGCCGGGAATCCAAAACTTGCCCCTTCATGGGCCCTGGCAGAGCACCTCCCCCATCTCTCCTCTTGGGGACTGTCCCGAGGCCATAGCCAGGGTGTAGGGTGTAGGGGAGGGCTGCTGGGACCAGGGTGGGCCTGAACCTAACCTTCCAACTCCAGTCACTTCCCTGGGAAGCTGCCCTTCTGGGTGTCACCTAGGCACAGCTGTCCAGTGATGCCCACGCAGCCTGCAGGCATTAGGAAACTCGACATACCAAGCCAGCAGCAGGTGCCCTGCTCCTGCCAGAGGGCCCAAGAGGTGCTCGGTGTGGGCATGGGGAGGCCAAGCCTGACACGTAGGGGAGGAGCCAGTCCCTTATTCATCAGGTCCCAAGGGTCTGACCCCAGGACCTGGGCTTCTCACGCCCAAATGACACCCCAGTATCGTCCCAAAACAGCCCTTCCTGGAGCCCTGCTGTGGCCAGCTCCAGTTAGCTGACAAAGACATGGAAGCCCAGACCTGGCCTTAGGGAACCTGAAGTCTGGGAGCAGGGCAGGCCTGCAAACAGGTCACCATTGCACGTCGCCAGGATGGTGTAACAGGCACGGCCACTGCCAGGCGAGCTCAATGCTGGTGGGAAACACTCCGTCTGCTTTGTTCCCCAAACAGCTGATCACGGTGCTGCTGCCTTCCCTGCACCTGATCCAATGTCCTCTGCCCAGATGCTAAAAGGAAGGGCCCGGAACTCTTTTTAAGGGTCTGTGATTTCCCGGGGCCTTCCGGCTCCATCCCTTCCCGAAGCCTGAGGCGCAGTATTCAGAGGAGCAAGGTGTTCAGCGGGTGTGCACTGGGCATCGTGCGTTCCTTTGGCAAAGCTTTTGCCTGCGGGTCCTTATCGGTTGTTTTCCAGACCACAGGAGAGACACGAAGCCAGTTAATGAGGACCAGTAGCCTTTGGGTTTAGAGATTTTGACCAACTGTTTTATCATTATGTTGAGTTTTAATTAGGGAGAAGACATCTGTAGGAAGCGATGGTCATGTCTTGAAAGTTTCAGGAGGCGGCGTGTCCGCAGCCCCTGCGCAGATCAGGCTGAAATCGGTGTCACTCCCCACCCCCATGGAGCAGCCATGTCTGTAAAGCCTTCAGCCTAGAGGTGCCCTGTCCCTTCTCATTCCTTCTCTCCAGACCTGGCAGCGGATGGCAGAACCAATACCATCATTTTAACAGGGAAACAATTTGAGCAGGGTAATTGCAGCATCATGCAGTGTCCTAGTTTTGTTAAATTGTTCCTGAGGGCTGGGGGTGGAAAGGCAGCTGGACGGCCAGATGCCCTGGGTCCCCGCCCCGTACGGGGGGAAACTCAGAGCCCATTCAGGGAAGTAGGTCCCTTTCACACCAGTCAGATGGAACAGGTAGGAATCTGGGAGTGAGAACAATTCACACCAGCCCATCCCAAGCTGGCAGGCAAGGGGGTCTTAGCTCTTCAGCCCCAGGAGCAAGTGGGCTCAGCCTTGTGTTTCATGTCCTCACCTACTGCTAAGTCACTCCCTCCCCCGAACATGCAGCACATCTATGCTGATTATAAAGAGCGGAGGGAGTTTTGAGGAGGACATGCCAAAGCCTGATCTTCAACAAAGCCTGGTCAGGAAGTTCCTCCCCACGGCCCCTCGTGCAGGGATTTTGCAGAGGTGGGGGCCCAAGCCTCCCTTCCGGAGGCCTGGTTTTCTTTAGATCAGGCACCCAGTGGAGTCCAGGGCTCTGTGAACACATGGACCCTGCAAGCGTGGTTCTGAGGGTATTAGTGTCAGTGTGTGTGTCCTGGGAAGGGGTGTGTAGCCGTTGTCATTTTCTCCAAGGGGTCTATGACCCCAAAGCAGTTAATAACAACCGATCAGAACCGTCCCTCCATCAGACCCCCTCTGAGCGACTTTATGAGTTATCTCCTGTTACTTTCTCGCTGACATGGGGAAAGTCACCTAAATGTCTAAATAGACCTGGCCTGCCAGGATGTGTGACACAGCTGGACTTTCCTTCCCAGCAGCCACAGACACAAGGGCTCCGGGCTGGACCATGCAGTCAATGCTGAGAGAACTGTTAGGTGGTTTCATTGATTTATAAGGGAACAAACAAAAGGAAGCCTCAGTTCCCGTTTCAGCTTGGTAATGGTTAAAGCCTCTTTGACATGTCTGTTGCTTTTATATAAGGAGGCCACCCTCCCGCATCCAGTGCTGTGTCTCTCCTGGGCACCTGCCTGCCCTTTTGGGAAGGGAGACACATGTGAGTGTCCCGTGACCTATGCCCCAGGCACTCCCTATAGGACAACTGGCTGGCAACTGGTTTTAATGGGAAATTTAAAAACAAACCTGTGCAACTTAGAAGTCCCTTCGGTTTGATGACACATTCAACTGATTTCAAGTGACTTGCAGGTATCACATCCACTCATAATATAGTTAGAGTCCAGGAGTCTTATAACCAGGGAAAGTGAGGCTGGGGAGGATCAGAGTGGGCCATGTCAGAAGTGGGGGGTCAGAATCAGGCGCAAGCCCCACATCGCCTTCCTGGGGGCCAGGCTTGGCTAGAAAGGGGATAAACAGGTCCCAGCATCAGCTGAAGTTAGAAGTGTGTCGGCCCCTGGAAAAAGCAGGGCCCTGGGAAAGGAGACTGGGCTTCACCCTCCCGCATCTCTTATGGCTCTGACACCTCACTGCCTGCAAGGAGCTGGTCCCTTGACCAGGCACCAGCAACTGGACCCACGAGGGAAGTGGAGATGACCCCGATGAGTGGGGGCCCAGCTGCAGCTGTGAGACCCGTCAGTCACTTGTCAGCTTCACCATCTGGGCAGATCACGCCCTGGGTCGGGGAGGGGTATGAGCTGGAACCCAACGGTCTGGGTAGGATCCCTGTTCCTCCACTTCCCGGTAAGCCTCTGTGTATCCTTCCATAATGTGGGAATCGTGATTCCCGCCAAGTAAGGTACCCGTGGCACAAAGCTGCCAGGAGGGTCCCCTGAGAGGGTGCTGAGGACCACCTGGCCTTCTGCCACCCCCGTGGGCTCCCAGCCAGCATGGGCCAGGATGGACAGGCATGCCAGCCCTCGGCAGGGGTGTCTACCCTGCTCCCCTCCCCCTCCTAAGGACACCAGTGATGGCCCAAGGCAGGGCCCTGTGGACTCGGGAGGACACCTTGGTGGCCTCATACCAAGCCTCGGGCAGCCGTGCCTGGGTAGGACGCTAGGCTGTGGGTGTAGCAAGGGCTGGAGCTGGCTCCCTTCCCCCCATGATGGAGCTCGCAGCGCCCTCCACCAGAGGGACAGATCTGTAGGCTGTGTGGGCCAGGTGACGAGGGACGATCTCCCACCTCTGTCCTCAGAGAGAGGGAGTAGTGACACACAAAATTACAGATCTCGGCTCTTGAAAAGAGGAAGAGGACAGCTTAGCCAGGGGGCGCTGCATGGATGGTACCACAGGGCTGCAATCAGTCATGCTGCAGCCGTGAAACAAGAACACATCCCTTCATATTGTTGCCTGTCCTGAGTTAACTCTGCAGACCCCCTCCCAGGCACCAGCAGGCCCATGCCAGCAGCGTGACATGCCCTGGTGCGGGCTGGGGGCAGTTGGCACTTCACCCCCAGGGTGGGCAGGCAGAGGTCTCTCTCCACAGGTCCCATTCAGAGCCTCTGAACACACATCAACCGGGGTGGAAGTGGATGGGGGGGTGACATTGATGGGACCCAAGCCTGGCTGGCGGGGTCCTGCCCTCGTGCTGAGAACTCACACAACGCTTGTTTTTCAGGAACCTGGGCAAGTCCGGCCTGCGGGTCTCCTGCCTGGGGCTCGGTGAGTGTGGGGGCCCCTGGGCACCAGGAGAGGATACAGAGGATGCGGGAGGGCCAGCAAGGGCTGGCACAGGTCCCCATGGGAGGCAGGTGGCCCAGCCCTTGGCCATGCCCTCCCAGGAGCAGCAGCACCCAATGCCTGAGATTCAGGGGGCTTGGTTGCCTTGGCAACAGAGAGGCCTGGGAGAGGGGAGAACAGGGATCCAGCCTTAGGAGAGCAGGTGAGGTAGAAACCAGCCCCTGCCCCCATACCACAAATCAGGGATGCCTGGCCCAGGTGTGCCAGGAGGATGCCTTTGTTCCATGGCCGGGCTGCACAAGAGCCTCTCCTGAGCACCCTTTGTTCTCTTGCCAGATGCGAGTCTGTCCCCAGAACACACTGTTCTCCACCTCCATGGTACACACGGTCTGCAACCTCAACACCCTGACACTGCCCTCACCGCTCCGTCCCAGTGAGAGCTGGGGGAGGTGGCCATCAGACCTGCTCATGCCCTTGCCTGTGGTGTGTCCCTGGAACAGACCCGCTACCACATAGCCCCAGACACACATGTCAAAGGCCCCAGACCTCCTGGGCCCAGGTCAGCTGTCTGCTCTGGAGACATTTGTCCCCTCGATTTGGTGGCCCCAAGAGAGCAAGACTTGCCCTGAAGGCCAGGTGTCTACACCCACCAAGGACAGACCACAAAGCAGCACAGTGTGGCTACCTGTGACTGCCGCTTGGGCCCTGCAGCCTGCGGTCTGAGCGCCCCAGGGGAGAATCTGGCTCCCTGGCAGGTTCCTTAACTCTCGTCTATGTGTCTCCTTCCAGGAACATGGGTGACCTTCGGAGGCCAGATCACGGATGAGGTAAGATGGAACTCCCTTGGCACCCTAGTCACAGTGAGGACTTCTCGGGCACGTGGTTAAGTCTGCTGCATGAACCAGAGATCGTGTGCCCCTGAGAGCCACCATGGCAGCCACCCGTTTTCTAGAAGTCTTGTGAGGGTGCCCTGCCCCTTGGGACCACAGGAAGGTGAGCCAGGTGGCAGTGGCCAAAGCCTGGTCTTCAACAAAGTGTAACCAGGAAGTTCTGCCCACAGTCCCTCATACAAGAGCTTTGCCTAGGTGAGGGCCCAAGCCTCCCTTCTGGTGGCCTGGGTTTGTCTAGACCAGGCACCCAGTGGAGTCCAGGGCTCTGTGAACACACGGACCCTGCAAGCGAGGTTCTGAGGGTATTCGTGTCAGTGCTTATGTCGAGGGAAAGGGTTCGTAGCCGCTGTCGTTTTCTCCAAGGGATCTGTGACCCTAGAGCAGTTAAGAGCCACCAATCAGAACCGTCCCTCCATCAGACCCCTTCTAAGCGGCTTTATGAGTTCTCTCCCATTACCTTCTCGCTGGCATGGGAAAAATCACATAAGTGTCTAAATAGACCCAGCCTGCTAATGTGTAAGTGACACGGCTGGACTTTCCTTCTCAGCCGCCACAGACACAAGGTCCTCTGGGCTGGACCATGTAGGCGATGCTGCTGATGATGTTAGATTGTTTCACTATTTTTTCAAGGACAAACAAAAGGAAGCTTCAGTTCCCATTTATTCGTAGTAATGGTTAAAATCAAGGCTATGCCACCACCTAGCAGTTGGGTGCCTTGGCATTCAACGTGGCCCTTCAGCTCCTAGGAACTCAGATTCCTCATGTGCGTGACACCAGTTCCCACTGTCAGTTCGGGGAGCACACGTTTCCAGGTGATGACACAGGTGCAGGTCTACGTTGCCCTAGGGGGCACACCCACATGAGTTAGAAACTTCAGCAAGCACCTGGGCAGGTCATTAAGAATGCAGCTTCTAGCCGGGCTCGGTGGCTCAGCCTGTAATCCCGCGCCTTTGGGAGGCTGAGGTGAGTGGATTGCCTGAGCCCGCAGGTTCGAGACCCGCCTGGGCAGGCGAGACCTCATCTCTACAATAAAATCAAAAAATCAGCCGGGTGTGGTAGCGCACGCCTGTAATTCCGGCTACTCGGAAGGCTGAGGCGGAAGGATCGCCGGAGCCCAGCAGGTCGAGGCTGCGGTGGCCGGGAGCGGCCACTGCACTCCAGTCTGGGCGACAGAGTGAGACTCCAACTCAAAAAAAAAAAAAAAAGAATGCAGCTTCTGCAACTGTTGCTGGGAGCTAAAGAATCTGGGTGGATTTACACCTCCCTAAACTCCTGATTGCATGTTTCCCCTAATCATGGTGAATTGTGTACGTGGCCATCAAACATGTTAACTGGGACGTGTGACCTTTGGGGTGCAAAGGTGAGCACTTTAAGGAAAAGCCAGCTGTGTGCTGCCTGTGCCCTGTGCCTCAGAAGGAGCAGGACAGCAGTTCCCAGGCTAGTGTGGGCTTCTAGACAGCGAGGAGGCATCTTCAGCGAGAACAGTGACGTTTGCTCAGAGAGCGCAAGGCATCTGCATGAGGGGCGGCTCTCATGCCTGCCCTAATTGCTGGTGGGGAGGTTGCATTTAAAAACTAATAAGTGTGCCAGGCTCAGTGGCTTTGCCTGTAATCCCAGCACTTTGGGAGGCCAGGGCGAGAGGATTGCCTGAACCCAGGGATTCAAGACCAGCCAGGAAAACTTGGAAAGACATCATCTCTACAATTAAAAAAAAAAATTATCCGGGTGTGGTAGCACATATCTGTAGTTTGGCTACTTGGAAGGCTGAGGCAGAAGGATCGCCAGAGCCAAGCAGGTCAACGCTGGGGTGACCGTGAGTATGCCACTGCACTCCAGCCTGGGCGACAGAGCGAAACTTCAACTCAATAAATAAATAAATAAAACTAATAAGTGGCTGGGCATGGTGACTCACACCTATAATCCCACCACTTTGAGAGGCCAAGGTGAGAGGATTGTCTGAGCCCACAGGTTTGAGACCAACCTGGGCAACTTGGCAAGACCTCATCTCTACTATAAATCAAGAAAATTTAGCCGGGCATGGTGGCACATGCCTGTAGTTCCAGCTACTTGGAAGACTGAAGAGGAAGGATCACCTTGAGTTCAGGAGTTCAAGGCTGCGGTGGCCATGAGCATGTCACTGCCCTCCAGCCTAGGTGGCAGAGTGAGACTCCGACTCAAAAAAAAAAAAGTATTAAGCATGTTGAGACCTTCTTGACTGTGATCAGCCTATTAGTTTTCCCAGGAAAAACTTTACTTCTCTCAGAATGTAAATGCCTGTTGCTCATGTTTTGGCTATTTTCATCTTTAAGAAAGTGGCTGGTTGCTGAACCATCTGCCTCTTGCTTGAGGTTGCTGGGTATGGACTATGGTAGGGCACAGTCGGGCAATTGTCTTACTTTAGCCCACCAGACCAGTCAGTTGCAGCCCCAGAGCCCACGTGGTTCACTCCAAATAAGCCTTGCCCAACTCAGCTCCCATTGATGCGGTTACTAGAACGTAGGTATAAGGATGTCATGGAAGGGTGAACTTCATTTCCAAACAGCATCAGCTGCACAGCGTGTGACTTCCTCGTAGGAAAGATAAAGAGAGGTGGGTGGAAAAGAACCATCTGATGAGGTGACTTTGTCACCCACAGACCACTCACACCCCAAGAGCTGGGATTAATGGTCTGATGGCAGTCCCAGCAGGCCCCGGTCGGCCCTGGCCTCGCGGTGTTCCATCAGGAGCACAGTGAAATGTGTGAAGACATTGGAGGTCAATTGCTAGATGACACCAAGCTGGAAGAACAGAGGATAAATATTTTATAGCCAGATTGCGAGAAATGACGCCAACACGCAGAGAGGGTCAAATTATGAGTCCTTTATTGACGCCAGCACTGAGAGCGGACTAGTGTCCAAAGAACTCTCGGCCCCAAACAAAGTGAATGGGGTATATAAAACATTTGATTGCGAAGGGGTACAGATAGCTACAGAATTTGTACATCTAGGGAGTTCCCAAGTACCAAGGGGCACGGGAATGTGGGTGTGCAATATGATTATGGGAAGGTTACATAAGGGGGTTATTTCTAGGTTAACATGGAAGATCTGTTACAAAATGGAGTTACTTATGTCAAGCTAGCTATTACAGGTTATTACAGGTTTTTCAGATTAGATATGTTATATTTCACTCATTTCATTCCCCCCTTTTACTTGTTTATGAGTCAATGCCTTGACTCATCAGTCAGAAGTATATTATTATACTGGGGTCTCATATACAGAAGTTTTGCAGAACTGATTCGTTGTTTGACAAAATGGATAATCCAATTAATTATGTAGGAACCAATAAATAGACGGAGGGGTCCAATTAGACTAGTGACAAGAGTTGTTAACCATGCGTTCCAATTACACAAGACTTAGAACCAGGATTTATTATGTTTTTGTTTTTTTGTCATTTGTCTAAATTTTCTCGGACTTTTTGAAGAATATCTTTAATAACCCCAGATTTTTTGGCATAAAAGGAACAAGCTTCTCCAAGGTCTTGGGATAGAAAAAGTAAGTTTAGGCCTTTACAATTTTGGAGGATAACTTCAGCCAGGGATTTTACCTGTTCATGGAGTTGGTTCATGGCAAATAGTAGGTTACCTAGGTCAGCATTAATTTCTTGGGCAAGGTTAGAGAGACCCAGTTTTCCACAAACCAGAGCAGCGATGCCGATTGCAACTGTTCCTGCCACACTTAGCCTGACTAAGGCAGGTACTAACAAAGGGAACAGTGTGTTTTGAACGAGCAATTGGAAGACCAGGGGGATTGAGTAGAAGAGCTTCTCTGGGACCACTATAAGCATAAACCTGAGGTAACACATGAACAGTAGTATATAAAGTAGACTGATTAATTAACCTTTTGGTAGTAGCACCTGTAAGACCTGTAGAACTAGCTAACCAGGTGTTGGCAGGGGCCACGTAGGCCATGGATTCGGCCATGGTTAGGGTGATGGATAAGTTACAAATCTCAGAGAATGGAGAAATTGTTAGATTGAAACCTGGAGTTATAAGGTAGGAGGCTTTACCAGTTACATCACTTAGAGTAATGTGAACCATTTCTGGACAACATTTGCTTTCGTCTGCGTTGCTGATGATAGGAGTTTCAACTCCTAGACCCACGTAGTATGGGGGTTTTGGTTTTAAGCAGAGCCAGCAATCTGATGCCTACTGGGGCATAGTGGCGTTTAAGTTGACGGTGCATATTAATTAACATAAGAAAAAGACTGGGGAGTCGGTGGGCCAGTCTTGGAAGCTGTTGAGGTGAACCCAGGGTGGTGGCTTGGCAGATGGCAGAGGCTGAGACGGAAGCTGGTGGTAACCCAACAAGGGATTTTTCCGCTCTGCCAACGGCCCTATTGGTTTGGCCACGGCTTTGTAGGCAAATGTGTGCCGTCAGATAGTGAGTAAGGCGCCCAGGTCGTAACCATTCATGTAAAGTTGTATACCCCAGGTATTTTCTGTACTCCAGGAAAAATGGAGAGAATTAGTAACCTTTATGTGTATAGGCCGTTCTGGGCCAGCATTTGACCAAAGGGTGATTTTAGATATGTTATTAGGCCCCCACTGTAAGTTGCAATGATAATGCATATCCAGTCTGGGCAAAAGAAGTCGTTGTCCCGATTACAGCTGTGGTCAGTGGGGCAGAGATAAAAGTTTACATCCCTTACATAATTGGGGGTTGCTCAATGTGTACATAATTCAGTGTAGTAAGGGTTTTGTCTGTTGTACAGGTTTCCAGATAGCCATTTTTTTCTATTTGTAGCAGGTCAAGAAGGTTTACCTTAAACTGGACCGGGAATGAACCGTGGGTCCAGTTTTGGATAGCTAGGACCTCTCCTGTTGTGAAAGATGTTAGGGAAAAAGAGCACAGGGCGCCTTTAGGACTCTTCAAGTAAAAATAAACCCAGTTAAACTTAGC